ATAATGTAAATAAATAATAAATAAATATTAATGTAAAAAAATCCACATCTAATAATAAACTTGTTATCTTTCTTTGTTCAATTCGCGTAATTTATTTAAGTGTTCGTCTCGCTTAATTGTCGATTGTCGTTTTGTCTGTCGTTTGTTGGTTCCGTGAAGACTCGCATAATCAATTAACTTTCTCTAACAACCCCTCCCCTCTACCGTTAGGCGAGCTAGTCGGCCCGTGGCGAAGCAGGCTATCGTTTTTAGCATCTTTCGGCTTTTCACGAAAACTGATGCGGGAAAGACCGCATCTGGCGCCCAACTTTTCGATATATCGATACGATCTCCGCCGCGGCTCGCGCGAGAATGTCCTCCATCCCTGTTCCTCAGAACGCGAGTATATTAATTTCGTTATTTTTTTTGACGGCGTTTTCGCTCCCCCGCGCATGTTCTCATCCAACATCTCGATGAGTGTCGATTCATTTGAATTGAATTGAATAAACATCGCAATATATATATATATATATATATATATATATATAACTTATATAATATAACTTTAGTTAATATTAACTTAATATAATATACTTAATATACAGGGTGGGGAAAAAGTATGGAAGCAAACAATTATTTCCGAAACTATTCATTTTTTGACAAAATGTCTTAGACATAATTTTTATGGTATGAAAAGATGTATTATGTGGCATAGACGGCATGACCTTGAAATGACCCTTACTGCGTACAAATAATTGCTGCATACAAAGAGCTGCATACAAATAACGTAAAAAATTTCAAATGGAACTCGTCAGTTTTTGTTACAGATTCTTGTAGCTGATGTCGAAACGTTTACAAAACACTGCATATGAGCCCCATCCCCTTAAAAACACTCCCAGTTACGAAACAATTGTGATAATTCGTATTGACGAAATTGAAAATAGACAGCGTACGTGTGATTACATGAATGTGTGTAACGCGACTGAACGTCATTATGAGAGATCAGTACAACAGTAGCGATTACTGCAACAAATGGAGAATAACCCGCTTCGATTATTTCTGCCGATACGAAAGACACGCGAAGTTCGTAGAATCAGTTAAGGCGTACATCGAACCGTACTCAAGGAAAGAGATTGCGTGATTCATCCAACCAGTTAAGGCAAGATAAGTGCGATTCATCCAACCAGTTAAGGCAAGATAAGTGCGATTCATCCAACCAGTTAAGGCAAGATAAGTGCGATTCATCCAACCAGTTAAGACAAGATAAGTGCGATTCATCCAACCAGTTAAGGCAAGATAAGTGCGATTCATCCAACCAATTAAGGCAAGATAAGTGCGATTCATCCAACCAGTTAAGGTAAGATAAGTGCGATTCATCCAACCAGTTAAGACAAGATAAGTGCGATTCATCCAATCAGTTAAGGCAAAATAAGTGCGATTCATCCAACCGGGCCATCGTGAAAATAACATTTGAAATTACAGAAATGAAAATCAGTAACAATTTCTATAATAGAAAACGACAAAAATAGCAAATTTTCAAAACACAATATCCGAAACTTGTATGCCAATTGACACTACTTTTTTAAGGATAAAATAAATGATAATAATAAATAAGGTAGCGATGATCAAGAAATCAAAAAAATTCTATGAATACTCATAGACAGTGTATCATATGACAACAGGTACAATTACATGTTATTAGTGGACGCAACTGAACGTCATAATGCGAAATCAGTAAGCAATGTCAATGTGCATACAAATTGTTTGTATCACAATTGTTTCGTAACTGAGAGTGTTTTTAAGGGAATGGGGCTCATATGCAGTGTTTTGTAAACGTTTCAACATCAGCTACAAGAATCTGTAACAAAAACTGACGAGTTCCATTTGAAATTTTTTACGTTATTTGTATGCAGCTCGTAAGGGTCATTTCAAGGTCATGCCGTCTATGCCACATAATACATCTTTTCATAAAAATTATGTCTAAGACATTTTGTTGAAAAATGAATAGGAAATAATTGTTTGCTTCCATACTTTTTCTCTACCCTATATATATTGGGTTGCCCGAAAAGTAATTGCCGATTTCACGCACAGATGGCTTTGATGGTATTTGTGAATGTCTTATGTCAATGTTGTGTTTTGTTTTCTTCTGACGTTTGTCAACTGTCACTTTTAGTTTACTTTAGAAGCAAATTGGACGTGTTTTTGTTGAAAATTGTTAGTTTGGCGTTAGTTTTAGTATGGAGTCCAAAAACGAGCATTTTCGTAATATTTTGCTTTTTTATTTCCGTAAAGGAAAAAACGCAGCGCAGGCTGCTAAAAAGTTACGTGATGTGTATGGTGAGGAAACCTTAAAAGAAAGACAGTGCCGAAATTGGTTTGATAAGTTTCGTTCTGGAGATTTTTCGCTCAAAGATGAGCAACGTTCAGGTCGGCCAATGAATGCTGATGATGAGCAAATCAAAGCCATAATCGAATTGGATCGTCATGTAACTGAGCGAGAGATTGGAGAGAAGTTGAAAATACCGAAATCAACAATCCACGATCATATGTAATGAAAAAGAGACTGTCTGTAATGAAAAAATCGGCAATTACTTTTCGGGCAACCCAATATATATATATATATATATATATATATATATATATATATATAATATGATATAATAAAAAAATGTATAATATTAATTACTTCATTATTTTCTATTATTGCAATTTTATATACGACAGTCTTTATTATGCACCAGTGTGCATTAGTGCATCCAATCAAATTCTCCCTTTCTCCCGCTATAAATCAATTACTATATTTCCAAAAAAATGTGATAAATACTTTAATTGCGTGAAATATGATTGAAAATAATTCTAAGATGCTTCGGCCTCCTTTTGTGACATATTTAGTCTATTCATATATTAAATGATATACATTGTTATTTTCAAAAATGTTCCTATATTGTTAAAGAGACATTCTGCATAAGAATATTTTTAATAATGTAAACATTAATATAATGATCTTTTTTTAAATTCATGCATAATAATAGATGTATTTTCAAATATTTTACAAATTTATAAAAATTTCTTACTCACCAACAAAGATATATATATACGTGGAAGAATTTTTTCGAAATGATAGACCGTACTTGTGTGTGAATATATATTTATATATTTATATATTATTAGCTTTATTAAACAGTTATTGGAGATAGAACAATAAATGTAGTTCATTTTTACTGCATACTTTTGTAATCATCAATATAATTTGAATATATAGTAAGTCATTAAATAAAAAGATATAATATATGTATATACTTATCTCGAATGATGTAAAAAATTCATACATGATAACTGTTATAAATTCAAAAATAATTATATTATTATATTTATATATTTACAACTAATTATAGAGAATATTATTCGCGTTTCCCCTTTCACTCATAAATTTTACAATCAGTTTGTAATTATCGGTCATATATAATGTCGAAAATTAATTAAATTCCCATGTTGAAAAAAATATTGTTTATACATATAAAGGGGAGAAGGGGGCACTTTAGAACAGTGGCAGTATAGGACATACGAATAAAAAACAAATTTGTCACTTTTTTCACGTTGAACGCATTTTGCGGTTAGCATTCAGTCAAGAGACAAATATCACATGAGAGCTCGCGCTGTTAACTGTCAAACCTAATCTACAGTTTATTAATAATTTTCGCTGACTGGTGTAATTATTTTGGCTCGCAAATGTAAGTACTTTTACGTTAAACTATTGCTCAAAAGGAATCTATTGTATTTTCTGGTTAAGATTATATGTTTTGCGTTGTAATGAGCGAAATACAACGATTAATAAAAGAGTTAATATGAGATACTACGTTTTTTTTTCAAGTTAGAGTTGAGATAGTATTGGATGAAATTCACGGGGCACATTAGGACATGTCCCAATGTGCCTTGTTTTTGGTTTTTGTTGGCAAAGTAGAAAAAAAATTTTAAACGGTTTTACTGTTAATTTTTTGAAGAAGATTTTACAGGATTTTACAAATTTTTCTTTTCTGAAAAGAAGGATGAATCGCTAGTGATTAGTACGAATATCTTAATTGCCAATACCAAACGATGCAGATAGCACTTCGAGAACTGCAGAAATTATGACGTTTACATTTAATTTTTCTAGCTTTAAACTTGGCTGATTAATTTTAAGTTTATTACGATCTCAATTTCCTTTTGTTACGTAGAAAGTTATTTTTGAAAGTCTAAGGAAATTATTTTTGTTAAATTTTAACTTTTTAATTTGTTACAAAATTAATAATTTTAACTTAATACTTTAACTTTTTTAAAGAGAGTTGTTAAATATTTTATTATTTAAAAGAAAATGAGACTGATTCTTGCAATAATTAAAGTTTTAATAGGTGAACACTAATGTTTATTTCATTGCGTAGTACAAATTATCTATTGTTAAAGAAAAAATATACTAAAAAAGATTTAAGATTTCTGTTGCCTAGTAAAAGATTTATTACTTTTAATAAAGTGAGAAAACAAGAATTATCTCAATTATTCATTATCAATCCTAAATTGCCCTAATGGCGTCCTAAACTTCCTTCCCAGGGAGGCAGATTAAGAGAACATACTTTTTTAAAAGATAAAAACAATGCACTACTTTCAAATGTGTTTCTTTTACCATACGTTTATATTGAACATTAACAATTAAACTAACTTATAATTGTAGCGGAGAATTAATTTCTTAAAAATTGAAAAATCTATGAGCTTTAAATAAAAAAGTGTCCTATAGTGCCCCCTTCACTCCTATATATACAATCGTAATCATTAGCTTTCGCTTCAATTACTCAAAAACACAAATTAGATATATCATTATATTATTTGATTTTGAACAATCATGAAAACGGATGTGATATTTTTTAATAATAATCAAAATTTTATGGAAGGTAAGATTAAAAAATTTCTTTTACTTTCATTGGTACATATAATATTAAGTTCAAACCTAAAAATAAGCATCAATTTAGAAATATCCTAGAAATATTTTTTCTACATTAAGATTTATTGAATCGTTTGGAAAATAAGATAAACATTAATTTAATTATATCGGCTAAATAGTATCGACTGGACTCAATAAGGCATCTTCTATGTTATTTCTTAATGCTATAATATTTTTCCGACAAAATTCGAAATTTGGTCTAGCACTGGTCGTTGCACTCCAGCAACGTAGCATCAACTGGTACAATGTTGACGGACAGTTAAGCGTCGTCGGCAACCTGCCTCCAGCACGTACATAATTCATCACTTCTTCATTAGTCTTGGCACTATAAGGTGTCTCACCCAACGATGTAATTTCCCACATTAAAACACCAAATGACCAAACATCGCTTTGAGAAGTAAATATTCTCATCATCAAAGATTCAGGTGCCATCCAGCGAACAGGAAGCAAACATTCTCCTTCCTAAAACATGATTTTAGTAAAAATTTAATTTTCCGGTTCAAGTTGTTTCATTTTCACAATATGTGCAAAATGAAAAACGTTCATTTAACTCTTGCGATATATAAATAAAAATCATTTATAATACATCAAGAAACAATGCATGAGACTACTATGATAAAAAAATGGGAAGTATTTTCAAAACAATTCATTTTTTAATTATTTCTAATAATTGTATTTATACCACGCGATAATAATCATCCTTGTAGATATCTCTAGCTAGTCCAAAATCTCCAATTTTGATGACACGATCCTCGCGATTTTTCGAAGATATTAAACAATTGCGACATGCTAGATCTCTGTGTACGAAACGCAACTCTTCCAAGTAGCAACAACCTCGCGCAACATCTTCGCACATGGCGAGCAAATCCTGTAAACGCAGAGCATGCGAATCTGACGCTTCCAAATTTCGACAATCTCTCAAATGTGTTAACAGATCACCAGTTTCCATCAATTCCAACACTAGTAACGGAGAATCCCCATCTAAACAAACGGCCAACAACCTTAATATATGTTTGTGTCGAAAATGATTCATAAGCTTGGCTTCTTTTAACAATTTCTCTTTCTCATGGAAAGAAGCATCTTTTCGAAGCGTTTTTATTGCAACGGATATCTCTGTGCCCGATTTTTCTAAATCCTTCACCTTTCCTTGATACACCTGCGAAATATTTCACACAAATTTACATGCGTACTTTATTAGAAAATATAGTTTAATGTCAAGTTATATTTATATTGATTTACTTTATAATACTTTATATTAATTTTACTTTATAATAATTCAATGAAAAATATATAATAAAGTGCATGCTTGTTATCTCATGTAAATATTATAATACTTATAATCTATTTAAAAAATTCATGTAATTTATATCTTTATTAGAAAATACGTATCTATTTTGTTAATCCAAAAATTAATTTCAAATATTGCCAGAAAGAATTAATTTTTACCATTCCGAATGCGCCACTACCAAGATGTTTTGTAAGTGTAATTTGATTTCGTGCGATTTTAGTTATCGCATATTCATCCGGGTTATAATGTAACATAGAACTGTACATGATATTGAATTGAGTGTTTCGGCAAGGTACTTCATGTAGAATCGCCAATTCTACATCGGCCGTTGTTGAAGACAAAAATTTTTCATTATTACCTCTGCGTTGACGATGTACTGGAAAATTTCGAGTTAATTATGTAATAATATGTATTATAAAATCCACTGTTTTTTAGTAAATTTATTTGTTTACTTTTATATAAGTAAATTACTATTTTTAGTAAAGTTTTAGATATTATACCAAATATATATATATATGTATATATATGTATATATATGTATATATATGTATATATATGTATAATCTACAATTCAAGTCGACACCTACATCAAATATACTTACGACGATAAAAGTAGCAGACGCAGATTATAATAATTATAACGATAAAACATAACATCAATAATAAGTAATATTTTTTCACTATTATTCCAGGAGTGCTCGGAATATCTATATTAAGCAAAAACATAATTTTAATATCTTAGTGTGTGTATGTTTTTACAAATTTATTTTTAGTCGTAACTTTATTTAATTTTTTTAAATTTAATTTTTTTAAATTATATTATGGCCTATTCATATCTAAAAAAATTAGCACATAATGTTATAATATCTATGCAGCACAGAATGTTACAACTACTTTGCAATAATATTGCAATATTACAAATTGCAATGCAACATTACAGAAACGTTGTAGAAATATAATTTAAAAAAGTATGAATTAGACATTAGCAATATGATATTTATATTTTGAAAACATTTTATAACATCCTTTAATTTATCTATAAAAATAATGTAATAATATATTTTTTTATATTTGTATATATGCGATGAATTTTACTTTTTTGCAGATGTCGAATGAAATAATGATACAGAAATAATATCAGTCGAGTAAATATATTATAATTCTAATCCAAAGATATGCACTGCTCTCTTTTTAATAAAATATAAATAACATTTTATATCAATGTTACAATGTTACGATATTAATCTTCAAAGATAATATATCTTTTTATTATATTAAGTATATAGATACTATTATAACTATCATTATATTTTTCTGTGCATTTTTATGAACCTTTCACATGCAAGTAAATATAATTATAACGGATTTTTTAAGTTTTTAAAAATATAAATTAAAATGTATAATTAATTCTATAACATATATGTATATGTGTATAAAGTATCCATTATAAGAGGATATAGAACACTTAAAATAAAAAAATGATTCGTAAGTAGGAGTTTAAAGAGTTTAATTTAGTAATAAAAATATAACATTTTATGTTATATGATTATGTTTAAATATAATTTTGTAATATATTATTTTAAATACAATTATTTTAGATATTGCAAACTTCTATTTATATCGAGCTTTTTAATTAAATTAAATGTTTGCAAGATATTCATCCATCAAAAACAAAAATATGCTAGCAATAATTTCTTTCCAATATATAATATTACACTGTAATATTACTACAATGTTTCATTGCAAAAAACGAATAGCTTAACTTCATCACAATCTTATAACAATAACTCAGCAGAGTTTCGTATTCGATTTGCAATATTGCAATGAAATTATTCTTCAATATATCCGTAACCTTATTGTGCTGTATGGGTATTTTCATTTGCTTACCATGTTTGCTACCACGTGTTGAAAAAATAAATCTTTCATCAGCCGGCCATATAAAAGTTTCCTCATATTCGATGTAGCTCAAAATTAAGCGAAACTTGTATGAAGTTCCCGATTTTAAATTTTCGACATGGTATATTACTTCATTGTTATAATTGATATAATTCATTTTAATATAATTCATTTTTTGCCACTTTTTTGCTGCAATATCTTTGTACTCTAGTGTAAAAAAGATCGTCAGATTAATATTTGAGATCCATGAAATGTTCATGCTATTTATGTTGACCTCGTTCAAAGTAATATTGTTTGGTTCTGAGTATATGTCAACGATCTTGCTTAAACTCTCGTTGTAGAAATCGCTGAAATTAATTGGATACACACGCACGTATATCAAGTAATCTTGTACTGATAGCGACAAGTTAATCTTTGTGAAAAATCTGCCGTCTACCATACATTTCGGCATATTGATAAATTGTTTGTCCCTTTGTTGCGTTTCGTTCATTAATGTAACTGACTTCCAATGCACTTCGTACGTCACGGCTACGCAGTTTACTTTCTTGGGTGGCATCCAATGAACTACTGCTATAGTAGGCGTCAAACCTAGGACGCTTATGTTTTCTGGTGCATTAAGCTTGCCCGAATTAGTTTTTATTCGTATCACATTCGAATCGAGTGGATTTATTGATAATTGGTCAAAGTAAAAATTGCTTATAGTAAACTTCAAGTTGTATTCTGTAAATGGTGTCAAGTTCTGAATCTCGTAATATCGCTCGGCCGTCAGCACATTGAATTTCTCAGACTTGTTGAGATTGTTGTCTAAACAGCTTACGGAGATAGTATATATAGTAGTTGGTAAATTATATTTTTTGCATCCACTCTTTACAACCGGCTCCGGAAGATTTATAATGATGCTGTTTGCCGTAGCATTTACATTCTCAAAATTATAAACTTTTTCGTAAGGTGTCAGACACCTTATTAAAGGATATGGTTGTAAAGATTTATCAAAAGCGTAAATTTTATGAATCATATTTTTATCTGAGCTTATTATTATCTTCTCGACATGATCATCTGCATTTATGCTTTTGAGACCTGCATATTTCTTTTTCAAAACGTAGAGAATAAATTGAGACGAATTATCACTTGCTGAAATGTAAATGTATGTTTTGTCAATCGCCATAGATTTGAAGATGTTATTACTTGGATATTTCTTGTGTAAAATCGTATTGCACATAGAAATATTAATGTCTGTCACAAATATGTAATCTTCATTTAACCAGTAAATTAATAGCTCTTCATTATTCATGTTATCAATTATCATATTACTCATAGGAAAATTTATATAATTAATATAATTATATAGGCATACATTTATCTCAACAATTTGCTCGATTTTTCCATTGAGATGATATTTCATCATACGATATTCGGTATTCGAATTGTATGACACGTAATATAAAATTCTAAAAAATATGTAATTATTTTTACTGATTATAAAACATTATTTTAACAAAACAGAAACTTATATGTAGTGAAAATTCGAAATTCTTATAATTATATAATAACTTATTATTTTTTTTATTTATGATCTTAATTATAAATCTACGTAAAATTATAGAAAAATTACAAATATGCATAAATCTTTAATAGAAAATTATTTTTTCAGGTGAACGGTAGTAAACATACCCCATGGACGGTGATACATTTAAATAGTCATAATAAACTTTTGATTCGAAAATCTTATCAAATTTAATTATGCCATTTTCCCACATTGCTAAGTCGAACTTTACAATATAAGAGGGTGACTCAGCATACGTGAAATATAGATTTCTTGCTATCCAGTCAATGCAGAGATTATATGGATGATTATCAAAGCTAACTATTTTTGTGAAATTATTTTCAATGCAGGGATTATATGAATAATTATCAAAGCTAGCTATTTTTGTGAAATTATTTTCATTAATCTTCAATGTCATTAGGTCTCTTTCTGTTAGCCAATAAATTCTATGTTCTTGTATCGAATAAGCGACATATCGTACTAATCTGAAAAAAAGGAACCAATTATAATTGTATAGTAAAAAATTATAGTTGAAATTTTTAATTTTATAATTATTACTGTTATAATGTTAATAATGAACTTGTGCATAATAATAATAACTTTAATCTTAGTTAGTGTTAAAAATAATTTATGGTAATTATAACTATTTTTTTATCAGTTTTTATACGTACTCTGACGTTACGCAATAAGTAATGTTTGAATCCACGTCCAATATGCGGATACCTTTGCTCGATGTAAATAATAATTTAGGTATTGGATTTTGATGTGTAGTGGACACATTGATTAAATCCGTGTAAGGACCAGCAACAATTTTAGTATGCGCACGTACTCGAAAATAATATGTCGTGTTAGATGATAGATTGTGCACCGTGTGCTCCAATTTTGTAGTTGTGATATTTTTATCATCGCAGGTTTGAATCTCTTTTAAATCCTCGATGAAAAAACATTGCACTGTGTACCCTTGTATTATTTCGGTAAATTCAGGTTGATTCCATCTGTAAAAACATAAAATTTTAATCATTTTACATTTAACAAAATTATAACAGAATTATAATTTTGATATATTTATATTGAATTAAGAAAAAGAGAGAAAAATGAAAGAATACAAATTGGGAATTTAGATTCCTTACCTCAATGTTACAAAGATGTCGTTTACTTTTTCTGTAAATTGACTGTCGAATTGTACAAATGCTCTGAGAAATATTGGCTTGCTCAAACTGCTTTCTAAAGATTTTAAGAGCGTACATATTGACAT